ACTCAAACAACTGCCTTACAGTTCATTTCATGTGGAACAAACACTTACTGAATGCCTATTCTGGGCATACTTATTTGCGAAGCATCATAGCCATCAATATGCTATGCAGATTCTAGATTCAGTTTGGCACATCCTTAGTTGGAAAACTGTAGCACTTAAGCTTGGAAAAGATAAACAAAGGATTGTTTTATGTGAGATGAAAAAAGTAAATTTAGTTGTCCATGTAGAAGTAAGTAAAATGAAAAGCTCTTATTGCCAGATAATTTTAGATGCAGTTTTAAAGATTGCTCCTAGTAAGTTAAGAATGCATAGCATATGCAGTTAAATGCCTTATTAGAAATCACTAAATATCCTAGCAGTTAATTACATCATTGCTTTAGTGACAACCATCTGTAATTAATTTTAAATACTTACTATATGGGGTTCAAATTGAGTGGAGTAAAATATAAGGTAAAAGTAGACACTCACCTTGCAGGTTATCTAATAACTCAGGGCTTATGAAATATAAAAGTTATTATGAAAATTAAAGGTGAAAAATTAGGGAGCACACAGCTGGCCACCAAATGCAAAATCAGTCTACTTGATCTTGAAAACGAAATCAATTTTTCATACCACTATTACATCCACATGGTGAAGTCATGGTTCATTGGAATTACTGAGGGGGAAAAATACTGACAATATTAAAGGAGTGTTCTTTTAGGAATGCTCTGTGCATCTTCAACATTTTGCTGAACAATAATTGTTCAGTGCTTACGGAAAATTTTAAGAAAATATAAGGATTCAGTTTAATGCAGTAACCTACATTTTTGACAGATCAGAAATTCTCAAAGCCATTATTATTATATGTTATTGTATGCTGCTGGCTTATGTGCCCTTGAAGATTTTATTAGTGACCAAAATATGTGTCGGTAAGGCTCATTTTTTTTATTATCGTGGTATAACTCTTTGTTTATATATCCGTTCTGATTGTTATTGAAGCCTACTTTTTAAAAATCATTAGAACATACCTCGTGAGCCTGCTTTCTGCTGTTTGTAATGAAAACAAAATAAAGATTAGTTGCTTGTGCTAAAAAAAAAAAGCCACCTCACTAGTCATTGAAGGCTGTGAGCACATCTTATTCTAAGGTTGGTAAACAAAGAATCATGCATTCATTATGCCTTTTCCTGTATGAACTCCAGCTGTGGAAAAATGACTGGCCATGGATACAAAATGGAAAACTTTATTGCCTTCCAGTTAGAACTTACCCATAACTGACCTTTCAGTTGGCTTTCAACTGCAGTAAATCACACTGAAGATTTCCTATCTTTCTCCTGTGGAGCAGCTGATGGATTCAAACAGTAAGAGATTTTTGAACTTTATAGCTACCATTCCTCAGTCCCTATCAGCTGGTTTAAAAAAATCCCCAAACAAAATCCAGAAAACAAGGAAAAAGAATATTTAATTTTGATAATTATGTAGAAGAAGTTGAGTTGCTATTACATAATGAGGTCAATGTAGGACAAGTTTAATATCTAGGTAATTCACTGGTTCAACTCTTGCCACTATCTTGTGTGTTAAACAGAAAATTGACTAGTTCATGAGCAATGTCCTAAGAAAAATGTGATGACCAGGGTCCCAGATTCTTAGAAATGAGAGTCTAGGTCATACAATCTGTAAGTCACCTGAATCAGCTGAAGTGTTAGTGTTAGCTAAGGATGCGGGAGAATCTGGAAACACTAGTACAAAAAGAGCTAGTTTTAAGGGTATAATAACTGTCGTTATGTATCATTAAGACTAGCAGTAATAGTACGAGCTATAGTATATTCCACTAGTCAACTCTTGAACATTTCCTCAGGATGAGAAGTCAACTAAAACCTGAAGGAACTTGAGCATCATAGATGCTGTGATTACGTTGTTATGTGCCACACAGTCAGATCCAACTCACAGGTGACCTTCCAGCAGATTTTTGTCATTGTTGTTATGTCACCTCCAGTTGACTGTGACTCACAGAGACCTATAAACAATAGCTCTGAACATTACCTTATCCTGAGTCATTCTCGTTGTATCCAACACACCTATCCCCTTGACCCCAGTTACTGTGTAAATTCATCTTATCCAGGGTCTCCATTTCCTGTGCTGTTACTCCACCCTTCCAAGCAAGTTGTTCTTCTACAAGGACTGGTCCCTGCTGGCCACATGCCCAAAGTATATAAGATGGAGACTCAAAATCCTTATTTCCAAGGAGAAACTTTGTTTCATCTACTCTAAAACAAACCTGTTTGTTCTCTTGGCAGTCTTTGGTATGTTTAGTACTCTTCTCCAGCACCACATCTCAAAGGCAAAGATTCTTCTTCTATTATCCTTAGTCATTGTCCAGCTCTCTGATGCAGAGCAAGTAATTGCAAAGATCATGGCCTGGATCAGGTGCACCTTAATCTCTAGACTGACATTGTTGCTCTTCAGCACTCTGGAGAAATCCCTGACAGCAGACCTTCTCAATGCAAATCCTCTTTTGATTTTCCATCTGAATTTAAAAACCATCGCAAGAACAGATTTGAGGCCTTGAACACTAGTTTCCAAAGAGCATATGAGGTGTAGAAGAATATCAAGAATATCATTCATAAAAAATGCAAAAGGTCACTACAGGACAGCTAAAGAAGGAAGACTGGGGTCGATGTCAGAAGAGTCTCTGAACATTGCACTAGAAGTCTGAGAAGTCACTGGGGTTTTAGGGGCAGTTAATTGCACAGATCTCCATACCTTTTCAATCTGTATATAGAACAGATTATCTGGGGGGCTGGGCTCTATGAGGAGAAATGTGGGGTCAAGATTGGTGGAAGATCTATCAACAATCTGAGATATGCAGATGATACAAACAACCCTGCTTGCTGAAACTGAGGAGGACCTAAAAATCTTGCTGCAGAGGGTCAAGGACTGCAGCCTCCAATATGGATTGAGGCTCAATGTCAAGAAGACAAAGATTCTCACCACTGGGCCAATTGGCAGCATTAGGATGGATGGGGAAGAGATTGAGATTGTTCACAGCTTTAGTTTGATTGGCTCCACAGTGAACACTCTTGGCACTAGTAGCCAGGAAATTAAAAGACTTTCCATGGGAAAGTCTGCTGTTAGGAACCTCTCCAAAGTACGGAAGAGTAATAGTGTCTCTCTGGAGACCAAGGTATGTCTGATACAGGCCATGGTCTTCGCAATCACTTGTTATGCATCAAAGAGTTAGACAATGACCAAGGAGGATAGAAGGATAATTGATGCCTTTGAGCTGTGGTGCTGGAGAAAAGTATTGAGAATGGACTGCTAGGAAAACAAACAGATTTGTCCTGGAAAGGGTTAAACCGGGTGGCTCCTTGGAGGCAAGGGTTCTGAAGTTCCGTCTAACATACTCTGGACATGTTGTAAGGAGAGACCAGTCCTTGGAGAAGGACATCATGCTTGGGAGGGAGAAGGGACAGTGCAGGAGGGGAAGGCCCTTTATGAGGTGGATTGATTTGGTGAGAGTTCATGAAGTTCATATACATTGTTTTTCACACTGGACCATTCCCCTTTCCTTTACCAATCCCTCCCTCCACCCATCAAATTGTGTGACTCAGGAAACTTCTTGCACATTCATTCCCATATCCCAGTTCACTTCCTAGAAATTTCAAATCAAGGTAAATATTTACAGTAGATTTTGAGAAGCCTGGAAGAGTTAAGAAACTTCTAGAGAAGAGCATAGTCAAAGTCTAGTTTCTGTCTCTACACTTGTCAAGAACCATGATAAAAGAAATTACTTTCATTTGCCTCCCAGGAATGCTAAATCTCCTACAAATAATAGAGACAATGAATTTTCTCCCTTCCATTGACACCTCTATATAAAATCTTGAGCCTCAAACCTCAAAATTCAAAAGATGTCAAGGACACACTGGCACACAATACCATCTTTTAATGCCAGAAAAGTTTGTTTTCTTAAAATTCAGCCTTATTTTTGTCTCACTTTAGTCATTGTAACCAAAATTATGTAAACTTTCTAAATAGACTAAATATGCTAAAAATATAATAAAACGCCAACTTCCCACCAACCAAGTCACAATATGGGTGTCTGACCTAAACCCACAAAATGAAACATGATGGGAAGGTCATTTATCAAACTACAGTGACTGTAATATTCAACATTGATGTTTCAAAAACAGAGGAAGCCAAATGACCAACTGCTAATCATAGTAATGCCATTAGCATTGGGGATACAATTCCAATTCTACACACCTGTAATCATATTTGACTTTGAGTTTAAAATTTTTTAAGTATAAACCTTTGACTATTTTGAGATTTGGGGAAATGGTGGAATTATTTCAAACTTTATAACTAAATCTTCAAAA